GAGAAGGGGGGAGAGAGAGTGGGGGAGGGAGGGAGGGAGGGAGAGAGAGAGGGAGAGAGAGAGATCTATTGATCTTTCAACCATTGGTTCTGTACCCAAAAGGCCTCAATGGCCAGGGCTGAACCAGGAAACTCTTCTGGGTCTCCCATGTGGGTGGCAGGGGCCCAAGCACTTGGCCCCTCTTATACTGCTTTTCCCAGGCCATTAGTAGGGAGCCGGATTAGAAGTGGAGCAGCCAAGACACAAATCAGCACCCACATGGGATACCAGCCCCTTGGGAATTAGACAATTAAGTCATTAAATTATTTTTGCATTTAGCTTACTTTATACGTAAGAAAAATATAAATATCCTTATGTTTCTGGGTTAAAATAAATATAATACATGTATCTATTTTCTAAACCTTATATGTGCTAATTTTTCAACTAACATTTTGAGGTGTTTATCAGACCTCTGAGTGCATAGGGTATTGATATTCAAGCTATATTTAATTTTGCCTTCTGTGGCAGGATTTTGGAATATGGAAGCCTATACTGAGATTGAGATTCTTCGACAATAACAATGATCTGGACACTGACTTACAAAGCAACCGTCACCACAATCTCAGTGCCATCTATTGGGTTCTAGAATCACTGCATTATGTTCAAATTGAAGAGCCACTTCTGCCTCTCAGTCACCCAGGGAAGAATCACGGATTTCAAAGTTCATAGGTCACCCGTCCTAACTGATCCCTGAGTTCTTTAGGTTATCTAATGGAAACATCTTAATCTGCAAATGTCCAGAGAGTTTGGGGAAATAGGTTGCTCTTTGAAACACACTGTTGATCTTTTTCAAAATGTATGAAAAAAAAAAAAGGCTTACAGATGATTTTAAGTAGGATAAGAAGGAGCATCATACTGTGATGCAGATGTGAAATTTGGAGGCTGAAAACCTTTCCCTTCAACTTCCTTAAGTCCAAATCATTACAGATGAAATGACAAATGAGTTACTCTTCCACACTGTGGAGAGCCACCCAAATCAACAACGCAAAGAACAGAAGGCCAAACCTTTACTGAATCTTGCCCTGCTGAACACCTCCCCACCTCGATAACTCATGTTGTCACTTCTTCCATCATCTTGTTAACAAATTCAATAAAGCCAAAGTCTTACTTCACTACTTAGTGCTTCATCACAAATATTTACACTATTACCAAACAGAGCTGCAATAAATTGAATAGCATTATAATTACTGTCCAAGAGAAGGTTTACTATTATACAAAGTCATTATTTAAAAACCAGGAAATAATACAAGGTACTGACCTCAATGAAGTATTTGGCAGTAAACACCCAAGAAAATGGTAAAAAACAGAGGGTCTGTGTCTAGGTCTAGTAATATTTATTAATTTGCTCTTTATATTTATAGAATTTATATATTATATATTATATTATATATAACTATATATAATATATAATTTGTAGCATTTACCTTGGTTCACCCACTATTGTTCCTCAATATCATATGGAAATAGGTTCCATTAAAAAGAAAATTAAATATTTAAATCCTGATTTTTTAGGACAAATGATGTTTAAGACAAATTATTATTGTCTCCTGATCTCTAATTCCACAGAGTGAATCATAAAAAATTATGCAGGAAAACTATTTACAACCTCCATATACAAAGGAAAAAAAACACTGAATTCAAACTCTTGCAAAGAACAACACATTTCAGTTCTAAATATTAGAGAAGCAAGGATACATTTCTGCTTAAAACAGTCTCCAATACCTCAGAAATCTGGATACAGACATACCATATGACCCCGCCATCCCACTCCTGGGAATTTACCCAAGGGAAATGAAATTAGCATATGAAAGAGTTATCTGTACCCTCATGTTTCTCGCAGCTCAATTCACAATAGCTAAGATAGGGAATCAACCCAGATGCCCATCAACTGAAGACTGGATAAAGAAATTACAGGATATGTACACCAAAGAATACTACACAGTGGTAAAAAAAAAAGGAAATCTGGTCATCTGCAACAAAATGGATGAAAATGGAAAAATATTATACTTAGTGAAATAAGCCAGTTCCAAAAGGACAAATACCATATGTTCTCTCTGACCTGTGATAAGTAATAGAGCACCTAAAAGGTAATCTACAGAAGCAAAACTGACCCTTTGTGATACAATGATTTTGAACAACCCTTGTCTCGACTGTTGAGGAACAGGTTTTATTTTTCATACTCTTAAGATGGAGTTAATCTTACGTGTATACAGTTAATTGAAAATAGATCTTAGTAAAAATAAGAATGGGAATAGGAGAGGGAGGAAGAAGAGGGGTGGGAGAATGAGTGGCAGGGCAGGCATGGTAGGAAGAATCGCCATGTCCCTAAAGCTGTGATTATGAAATAGATGAAGTTTGTATTCCTTACATGAAAGGTTTTCAGGTCGGGGGAACCCACAGCGTCCAGAGGCAGGCACTGTGGTACAGTGGGTTAAGTTGCCTACGTGACAACAGTATCTCACATCCAACTTCTGATCCAACTCCCTGTTAATGCACCTGGGAAGCAGAAGATGGTCCAACTGCTTGGACCCTGTGGGGAGCAACTCGGACTAGACTAAGTTACTGGAATTAAGACTTATTCTATGCATCTGCTCTCCCACAATATGGCGCTGAGAAGGGAGAAACAGCTTCTACACAGCTGCCTCCAGTTCAACCAATAAACTGTAGGACCTGCTCCTGATTGGAGGAGAGCAGCGTACTCGGCGTGTGGGTAGCAGAGTTGGGATTGGTGGAAGAGGACTATAAAGGAGGAGAGAGACAACATGCACCAGGAACATCTAAGGGGAACATCTATCTGAAGGAACACCTGTGCAGCCCCCGAGAGAGCGGGCCGGCGGTGTGCCGCTCCCCCGCGGAAGTGGGGAAAGTGGCAGGGGGAACCGCCCTTCCACGGAGGTGGAAGGGTCGGCAGCCAACCCGGGAAGAACCAGCAGCAAACCCGGGGAGGGCCGAGCAGACAAAAGAACAGCGCAGGGTCCTGTGTTGTTCCTCCACGAAGACGGGGAGCGACAGGACCCCTGCTATCCATGTGGGAGACCCATATGGAGTTCCTGGCTCCTGGCTTTGTCCTGGTCAGTCCCAGTCATTATAGCTATTTGGGGAGTGAAACAGTGCACACAAGTTCATTCGTTCTCTCTCTCTCTCTCTCTCTCTCTCTCTCTCTGTCTCTCCCCTTCAATAATTTTGCCTTTGAAATAAATAAAATGTCGAAAAATAAATAAATCATTAAATAATTATGAGTTTCCACCATTTTCACATGAAAAATAGAGCCTGACTTCACTTGTTTTCAGGGATTTTTGAACCTTGATCCGGCATGTGATGGACATGTTCCTGTTCTGTGGAATGGAGTCGACACAATTTCTATAGGGATCAGAAAGAGGGAAATTTTTATCTTTATGTTGTAAAGTGCTCAAGCCAAGAAGAAAGAAGTTCAAGAGTCAGTGATTTGGGTAGGAGAGAAGCTGACTTTGGTTTCCCTTGCACCACGAAATGTACACATTGTTTTAATTCAGCACTTTTCTTGAAAAGTAAGAATATTCACAGGGGGATGAGGAAGTGGTAAGAACATTCTCCCTTTCCATGTCAATACCACTATGTCAATACCTGCAAGGGTCCCTGCGGACAGCAGTGGGGGCGGGGTGTAGGAATAGGAGATGGGTCAAAGGGCACACAGCTCTCAGCTGGTGCTGGAAAGATGACTCAGCACAAAAATACCAAAACAAATGACCACTACTCTGTCATACATATTTGTTGCCTTTCCCCCATCCCGGCATATTTTTTGTTGGTGATGGGCTGTTTTGTGACAGTGGTGGTGAGGGACCAGGGGGATGAGGGAGAGTGGAGCAACACCATCAACGTAAGCTTTCCAGCCACTCTTAGAAGCTCTACTCGCCAGCGCCACAGCTCACTAGGCTAATCCTCCGCCTTGTGGCGCGGGAACACCGGGTTCTAGTCCCGGTCGGGGCGCCAGATTCTGTCCTGGTTGCCCCTCTTCCAGGCCAGCTCTCTGCTGTGGCCAGGGAGTGCAGTGGAGGATGGCCCAAGTGCTTGGGCCCTGCACCCCATGGGAGACCAGGATAAGTACCTGGCTCCTGCCATCAGATCAGCGCGGTGCACCAGCCGTTAGAGGGTGAACCAACGGCAAAGGAACACCTTTCTCTCTGTCTCTCTCTCTCACTGTCCACTCTGCCTGTCCAAAAAAAAAAAAAAAAGAAGCTCTACTCCATCCAAATGATTGACCCATGGGGCCTTCTAAAACCAAAAGCAAAATTAAATATACTCGTTTGTTGATATGTCTATAGACTGTTCAGTAGAAAGGTACTGAGTCAGAAGTCGGAATGCCTGGACTCTGGTCTCGGTGCTGCCACTAATTACCTGCTTCGGTAAATTTTTGTGGTCTCTATACGACTCTATTTTCTTCAAAATCAAAATAAAATAACTAGAAGTGAAGAATCCTTCAGGTACCTCACAGCTCTGGGACTCTGTGTGATGCCATTTAAGTTTTATGAGATCACAGGAATTTATAGCTGCTATTTCTTGATTTTATTCTTTTGGTCTTATTTGGCACTTGGTCCTTGAACAGGAATTCAACCCTCATCTTAGATTGTTCCTATTTTCCCAGAATAAACTGTAGAACAACAACAAAAAGACTGTCTACTTAATTACTAAGAAGTAACTGCACAATTTATTAGCCTCAACTACATTATCATATTTTTATTAACCATGTAAATTAACCTTCATACTAAAGCGCAAATCATTTGTCTTAAAAATTTCCATTTCAGTAGTGTTTTATCCTGGGCAGGATAAGGTCCTAAGGTCAATGTGTAAGGTAAAATTTGCGTGCAGTCAAAGTCACACTGGAAATCTTTTGAACTGACAAAACAGTACACACAAGTGGCACAAAAAGTTACCTATCTCACCAAATTCAATCACAGAACTGGCGCACTTTTCTGTTTCTACAGCAGAACACCGAAAGCATCAGGGGCATGTGGTAACCACAGAACAGGAAAAGGAATGTGTGTGTGTGTGCACATGACCAAAGGACTGAGCGGCGATGTTCAGACCATCAGAACAGACCCCTGCATCTGTGGATGTTAACTGAACCTCTGATTGCAACTCAGCCTTAGAGATCAGCGGTAACACGAGACCTCGCACAACACCAGCTACAGGTAAGTAACTAAGAGTGTGACACTGTTAAACTGAGTAGTTGTTTTATTGGCGATAGACTAGCTATCTGCTCAACTCCATCAGCCCCTCTTCTCTGCAAGATGGGTGAGACCAAGTTCTAGCAGAAGGAAATAGTGCCCCATTACAAATAACTGTAAGAAAGAAGCAATGTGCAAATACTGTGAAACAAGCTACACATTTACAGGCACAACTAGAAAAGAAAGAAAATTTTCAGCTAAGTGTTTAGAAGATATTAAACTGTCTTTCACTGATATTTACTATACTATTATTTATAATTTTAAAATACACGAAAATCGAAACAAAAGCTAATGGAGTGTTAAAGAGATTAACATCCATGTGACTTGGAAAGCTACAGATACTAAAATGAGGTTTACAAATAATTTTAATGGTATTATAGAATCCAAGTTTTAAAAGTATATGCTCACATTTATCAGAAAAATATATTAACTTTAATCACCAATAAACAAAACTGCTGTAACAGAGGGAAAACATTTGTAACTTTTTTTTACCATTTCAAATATTGAGGTAACTCTCATAACATGATAAACTAGTTTAAACCAAAAAGTTTTTTTGCCCCAATGGATTTTTTTCTCCATAAAAGAGGTTTTCTGTCATTTGCTGACCACGTGAAAGACGGAGTTCCGAAGCAGTTAACTCTGAGAGCCCGAATACAAACCCCTTGCTGATGTGACACCAACGTCTTACAATTAAATATAAGAGTCTGCACAAAGTTCATGGGAAGTGCATAATTTAAAACATGATAATGGATTCCAAAAACTTTTTGCACCAAAATAAACATATCTTTTCACTCCATTTTTCCACAAACCTACTGGAGTACCACATGGTGCTCTACATATTAGATCCTTGGTGGCCATTTATTACTTTTGTGTCACTGTCATGCCGTTGTTCTTTTCTAAATCTCCACACTAATCTTCCCAGTTGATGTTTTCAGCAACCTAGTGGGAACAGACTAGGCTTTCCCGTCTTTTCACTGATGAGAGGAATGAGATACAGGTATCTGTTGATTTTCCTAACACCTAAACTTTTGATTCTTATTATGGCTAAGCTGTCAGATAGATGTCTTCTTTTGTTTTCCCTGTGTCTGATGTATATAATTTTAGCATTTATAATTTCAACTGCTGTAAAATGGAAACTTTTAAGGGTAAATTAAGTTAAAAAAATTTTAATTTAATTTTAAAAATAAAATTTAAATTAAAATCTAAGTATAGACTGGTTCATGTTTTTATTTATTTTAATGGTAAATCATAGATAATTTTGTAATGAATTTATGTTAAATGTTGATCACTGCTTAAATATATTAATCTACACGGTAATAAAGTTATAAATCTTTTCTGTCACTACATATAATATCAATACTATAATTATTACATTGCATTTGTTACAAATTGAAACTGGTTATTTTCTTTGGCCAAATTGTGCTGGTCTAGTAGACCATAATGTATCATTTGTATAAACAGATGTTTTACGCAGTAAAGGTGGTTAGAGTAGCTACAAATTCATACAGTTAGTAAGACAGATAAATAGATAAATCTAACTCATATTCTTTCTTACAAAGAAATTAAGTATGATGGCTGGCATTGTAGTGCAATTAGAGCCACCGCCTGCAACTGTGGCTGTGGGTACCAGTTCAAGTCCCAGTTGCTCCTCTTCTCATCCAGCTCTCTGATAATTCACCTGGAGATTCTGCCACCCACCTCAAAGACTCAGATGGAATTCATGGCTCCTGGCTTTGGCGTGGCCCGGCTCAAGCTATTGCAGCCATTTAGGGAGAGAACCAGCACATGGAAGATCTCTCTGTCTTTCTCCTCTCTCTCTAACTCTGCCTTTCAAATAAATAAGTAAATCTTTAAAAAAAAAAAAAAAAAAGAAAGAAAGAAATGATGGGATACACAGCAGACTCATAGAATGGCAGATGTCCTAAACAGCACTCTGGCCTCAGAATCAGCCCTTAAGGCATTCGGATCTGGCTGAAGAGCCCATGAGAGTATTTTAGGCATGGAAAGCCAAGACACTCTGGCAAAAAAAAAGAAAAAACAAACAAACAAACAAACCTCTGCGAATGAAAATGAATCCCAGTGGAAAGAACAGGGCCATCAAAGAAGGAGGTACCTTTCTCTGAAGGGAGGAGAGAACTTCCACTTTGACTATGACCTTGTCTGAACAAAATCAAAGTCGGTGAACTCAAAAGGCTTCCATAGCCTTGGCAACTCATGACTAGAGCCTAGGGAGATTACTGACGCCATAAACAAGAGTGTCAAATTGTTAAGTCAACAACAGTAGTCGCTGTGTACTTACTCCTCATGTGGGATCTCTGTCCTTAATGTGTGGTCCAATGTGAATTAATGCTATAACTAGTACTCAAACAGTATTTTACACTTTATGTTCTGTGTGGGTGCAAACTGATGAAATCTTTACTTAATATATACTAAATCAATCCTCTGTATATAAAGATAATTGAAAATGAATCTTGATGTGAATAGAATGGGAGAGGGAGTGGGAGATGGGAGGGGTGCGGGTGGGAGGGAAGTTATGGGGGGGAAGCCATTGTAATCCATAAACTGTACTTTGGAAATTTATATTTACTAAATAAAAGTTTTAAAAAAAGAAATGATGTAAAAGACTTTTCTGTCATTTGAAAATGGTGGAATTACTCTCACCAAACCAGACAGAAGTTTTCTTGTTATTGTACCCCACAAGGGGAAAAGAAAAGTACATCAAATATTTTTGGTTTCCCTCAATTGACATTGAAATACTATTCTTTATATACTCTTGGTCCATAGACAAAGAATACACAAATCAGTGAGTCCAAAGCATAAACTTCTAGATGGTGGGAACCATAACCTCCACTTCTTGGCATTTTCAGTATCTTTTACAGGACAGAGGCCCAGCAAATGCTTGATATTTTTGGCCCAACTCTATCTAGTTATGGCTTCAAATTATCAAACGTGGATTTTCTCATGTGGAGTTGTGTCTTGTTGATGGTCAGTTAACAGCTTGTGAATATTATTTGCCTCTTCAAGTAATATCATTCATGGGACCAGTGCTGTGGCTTAGTGGATTACGCCTCTGCCTGTGGCACCAGCATTGCATATAGGTGCTGGAGGTTCGAGTCCCAGCTGTTCCACTTACAATCTAGCTCTCTGCTATGGCCTGGGAAAACAGTGGAAGATGGCCCAAGAGCCTGGGGTCCTGTACCCATGTGGAGACCCAGAAGAAGCTCCTGGCTCCTAGCTTTGGATCGACCTAGTTCTGGCCATTGTCACCATTTGGGGAGTGAATCAGCAGATGGAAGAACTCTCTCTCTCTCTCTCTCTCTCAAATGAATAAATAAATAAATAGATCTTAAAATATCATTCAACATTCAATGTATTTTTCTAAGGACAAAAATTTTTCTAAAGAAAAAAATACACAGGTTCAGAAAAATGTGAAAAATGCATGAAGATCCTCTGATCTATGGGTAATATCACAAAATTAGCTTATTTCCAAAGCACGAAGAGTACAGGTTCCATTAATGTAAACACTTCCTGAGTGTGCAAATGTCAAGTATGAAGCTGGAGCCAAGTGGAAGGGAGGAGGAGGATAGGATTATTTATATACAAACGTAACAACTTACAGAGTAGTATATTCTCAATAAATTTATGGAACAGCACATGGCATTTTACAAAACTCTTTACCGACAGATGTCTGTATATCTAAACTACACTCCTTTGGTGGAGTGACTGAGAATAACTGGCAATGTAGTTAGCTGAATGTTCTAGTATGTTGGGAACTCTTATACTTATCAAGTCCTATGTCTGAAGAATTGTTAATAAAATAAACAGTCAGAAATAGAGAAAGATAAAATTCATTGCATGTTTTTAAGGACCTATGGCATTCCAGTCACTGAAGAATCAGTCATGATCCTTAAGGACTGTTTAATATAGGAGGGGAGATAAGGACTAACGACAAACAGCAGAATATAGAACATTACATCAGAAACCCAACAATGGATATAGAGAGTGCTTTTGTTATTCAGCAAAGATATTAGCAATATTTATTTTCTTGCCTGGACATTTGCTATTTCAACAGCCTGATGAAACTTTTTCAGGGCTCTTGTGCATCAAGTTGGATATTCCCTTTAAATTTTTATTTCTGGGTAGAATAATTTCTTTAAATGTTAATGTGCTTTTTGAAATAGTTCTATGACTTACTTATTCTAAGTGTACCTAATTCAAGTGTCAAATGTGCCTCCTTATTATAATATTTCAAAATCTTGTGAAAAGATATTAATTTTATCTATATCTTTCACAAATTTACAGGATTTGTTTACATAAAAAGAGCCCAATTTCATATTTTCTCATACAGCAATCCTTTTCTTAGGTCATTTAATAAAAGACACTCACTTCCAAAATTCTACTGGATACAATCTAATCTTTCTTGGATGATTCACAAGTAACTTTAGGATGTTCACAGTGGCTCAGAGTCATTTCTGTCAATAGCTCTGGGTATAGGATGCAGAAGGCTTTCAGATTGAATCGGATTAAACTGATGGCAGAACTGGGTCATGTCCCAAATGCTACCTTCTTAAATATATCAACTTTTTATATGTCAGTTTTTTCTTCCTCTCAAGATGAAATAAAGAATCTACAAATTATACTCTGGTTAATGTAGATTCACAAAAAACTAGAATTCAGTGTGTATCCATGAAATAATGCATATAATTATGTTTCTTTTATATTTAATGCACTTTTAACTAATTTTATAATAGTACAAGTTAGGTAAATACTTACATTAGCTGCTCCAAGGAGTATGAGTGTAGGCCCCAAACCTATTGTATATATTGATCTCAGCATTATCGACACAAGAAATGGCCGAATACCCACAGGCTTGGAGAAGAAAAACAGCATGGATGTGCAGATGGCAACTGCTATCCACAGAAGAATGGAGAACAGTGGAGAAAGTGTACCTGTAGAAAGCCGAG